GCACATCTCGTATGCGAAAGATCTGCTTCTGTGGCTGCAGTCCGACTTCACCAGCCTCAGTGGCTCCATGTCGCCGGGTTTGTGGGCATCCTGGATGACTGAGAGGCTTCTCACGATCTTGTGCCATCTGAGACGAATCCATGCTTCTGCTATCAGGTTGTCGGAGTGCTCCTCCCGGCTCACTGGAGATCAGAAGGCGATCTTGCAAGAGCTGCTCTCGAAGATCAAGAAGCCTGGCACTGGTCGCCAAGACTCCAGCCCGCCGGCCCCTTCAAAATCAGCTCCGATTTCCCCCAAAAAAAGGCGGCTCCGGGAGCAGTTGTCGGAAGTGACAGTAGACAGTGACGGCTTCCCTATGATCCTGAAGGCCGCTGATTTGCCGGATGTTGATGATGAAAAAGATGATCAAAGCCGTGGGCTTCCCTCCAGCTCTGAGAAGCCGGCGGAAGCTATGAAAGCAATGAAATCCATGAAAGCAACAACAGGCCGCAGGAAAATGAAAGGCAGGCCTGCTGGCAATTTCGGAAAGATGCAGAAGAAGCCGGCCAGCTACTACTACGCCCTGAGCAGAGATCAAAGAGCGAAGCTTCGCCCCGGAGGCTGTGCCAAGTGCAGATGGTCCGTGTGCTCACCTTCGTGTTTCTTAAAGTGACTGTCTCTCGCCCCGGAGGGTGTGCAGAGTGCAGATGGTCAGTGCTCACCTTCGTCCTGTCTCTGACTGCATCAGTGTGCAGCTGGCCGGGTGAAAGATCATGGGTTGTGCTCCTTCGTGCCATCTTTCGTTTCGTTGTCGCACTGCCTTTGAAGCATGAGCATTCTGCAGGAATCCCTAACAACGAGGGGACTTGGATTTTTGCTGAGGCCCACAGTGGTGAAACAGGATCTGTTGCGGCAGCCTTATGCGGCAGAGCTTGATCGAAGGTGCTTCGCATTGTCTGTCGATCTGTTGAGGTCCTCGATCTGTCTTGGCGCTTTTCTCAGTGGCAGCCCAAAAATACACAAACCCTAAACCTGGACAACTCAGTCCACCTCTAAGGCCAGGAACGGTTTGGCTCGTGGTGATTGGAGTGGCCTTTGGATCCCGTCATGCCGCCTTGATTCCTGCTGAGCTACATACGCATTCTACCATGCCATATCTAGGTCCGATTCATTTGCAAGCTGAGTGTGAATACCCGACCATTTGCAGCAGCTGCTACAGGCTCAAGTACGCTGCCGGGTCGTCCTGCTGTTGGCCTGGCATGGGGAAAAATCGAGCTCAGAAGCCATGCCAGGGTGCTCGCCGAGCCCGACGACGGGTGAAGGGCACGGACAAGGCTGCCGAAAAGGCAGAGCCAGGAACCGCTCAGCACCTCTTTCAGGAGGAGCAGGGCCCTCCTGAAAGCGAGGTGAAGTTCCTGAGGAGGATGCTGAGCATGCTGCTGGAGCGAGTGTCGTACAAGCAGGTCGTTCGCATGGGCATCCTCAAAGACCGGCAAGAGAAAAAGTACATGAAGCAACTGAACACCGAGGGCATGGCAGAGCAGCCTTGCGAGGAAAGTTTTGTTGAGGATTTGGAGGAGGAAGAGATGGAGGAGGATCGTGTGTGCAGTCCAGCCGAGGGCAGCCAGAAGAGCTAGGGCCTTTGAGGATATCGGCTGCAGGGTTAAGTGTGAAAAAAGCAGACGGGAGCCTGGAGCGAGTCTCGTTGACGCTTGCCGGTAGGGCCTTTTGGGGCAGTTGCCCTGCAATCCTGTTGTGCCAGGTTCGGGGCACGAGGTCAGAAGTGGTGCTGGCCTCAATGTGACAAAGTCTGAGCGAACACCTTCGGTCTGGAATCTCGGGTTGTGGGTTCCGGTAGTCACGTCGGCTGATTGAATATGCAGGTTTCAGGCTTCGATGTTGGGAGTGCCGAGTCTGGGTTCTAGAGGCCCGAAGCGCTGAATCCTGCACCTTAACCGCCTTAACCCTTGTCCCCTAAAAGCCCGACCCTCCGGAGCATATTACAGTCTGGGTTGCACAAATCCAGACGAGTGTTGAGTGTTGTTGGTGTGTCTGTGTGTGTGTATGTAAGTATGTATGTATACACACACATATATATATATATATGTATATATGTATATATGTGTGTGTGATAAATAACTCTATATATATATATATGTATACTCACCTATACATATATGCGATAGTGAAGAGGGGTAAACAATTCGAGCTTATTCGGTTGGACTGGTTCGTCAAATTGAATTCCGGTTTCGGGGCGGGGAGGGTGGTGTGCCATAGCCCCGAACTGCATACTCCCGAAAGCCCCGAACAGTGCTTTAGGGTTTTGCCTTGAGGCGAACAGCCCGGGTTTAAGGTTTAGGCTTTAGAGTTTGGCTTAATTTTCATCCTTATGAGCCCAGCCGCCGTGCATAGACCCTAGCACCCTCGCAAGCCCTGAAACCCAAACCCTGAAATACCCTGAACCCTCTCGCACCCTTCACCCCCTGACTCCCCTCGCTGAAGTAAGCCTTCAAACCTTAAACCCCACACCTAAACCCCAAACGCTTAGCCTGGCCGAGGCTGGGACAATCGAGACCAGGAACGATGCTCAGGTGGCTGGTGGCATGGGGTGTAGGGTTTAAGTCTAGGCTGTACGATTTTGGCTTTCTGTGTGAAGGATCCAGGGCCGTGCATAGAGTTTAGCACCCTGGCAAGCCCTGAAACCCAAACCCTGAACCCCTTCCCACCTTTCACCCCCTGACTCCTGACCATGAAGTAGAGCCTCAAACCTTAAACCCCGCACCTAAACCCTGAATGCCCAGCTTGGCCGAGGCTGGGCCAACCGAGACGACGAACGATGCTCAGGTGGCTGGTGGCATGGGGTGTAGGGTTTAAGTCTAGGCTGTAGGAATTTGGCTTGTTGTGTGAAGAATCCAGGGTGCAGGGCTGTAAGGTCTATAGGCTTAGGGGTGTCAGGTTTAGTATCTTTTTTTGTCATATATTCATATACTATAGATAAAGATATATAGCCAAGTATTTTGAACGAGGCTTTTGGGTGTGGTTTTGCAGGCCTATGTCTAAAGGATCTTGGGTTTTTGGGAACCGGGATGTTAGGTCTGGATTTGTGCAACCCAAGCCCATACCATCCCCATAAGCCCCGAAGCCCAAAACACAGAGTGGTTTGGAGACTTCGGGGCGGTGTCCTTTGACGTAAACCGGTTCGGGTTTCAAGCCATGCTCCAGGTATTTACAGGCTCATTCATGCCTGGTTCAGGATTTCAGAAAGAGTATATATAGCATGTATATGTGTACACATACATCTACATCCACACCCACACTCGCATGTCCATGCCCATAGCCATGCACATGCACAGAGACGATACATGTACATCAGCATCATCATTTACATAGAATAGACATACAAAACAAGCATACAATGGGTTTGGAGGCTTGGTCTGAGGGATTTTGGGTTTCAGGTTCAAGGAGAGAGCCAGGCCTTGGGAGGTTTATAGTATTTGAGCATCAGGATTTTGGGCTCAGGGGAAGTCAAGCTTCTCACAGGTGTGCATTCAATCGTACACATTTTCAAGCCATTTCGAGTTTCCATGGAGTTCCGAACTTCGTGCTTAGGGTTCCAGATTCCGAGAATTTCGAGGCAGGGTTGCGGCTGTTGGGCTCAAGGCTCTCATGAGATGCAGGGCCACACACGCTGCACCCACGCCCCACCGCCACACCCCCCCAACACACACACCCACCCTGGCCACCCCGCCACACCTCAGTGCACCCCACGTTCGCTGGTCATGGAGCGGGATGCTGCTAAACAAACCTAAGCAGCACAGGTTTTCACAGAATATCCTGTGAAGACCTGTGAAGACCTGTGAAGACCTGTGAAGACCTGTGAAGACCTGTGAAGACCTGTGAAGACCTGTGAAGACCTGTGAAGATCTGTGAAGATCTGTGAAGATCTGTGAAGATCTGTGAAGACCTGTGAAGACCTGTGAAGACCTGTGAAGGTGTGGAGGTCAATTGGCTTAGGGGGGGGTTGGGGTTGTGTCAAGCACGGAGCAGGGAAAGGTAAGCTGGGGTTGGTGGGGGCAAGGGGGCGGGTTTTGGGGGGTGGGGGGAGGGGTTGTGGGAGGGGGGGGGGGGGGGGTGGGGGGGGGGGGGGGTGGGGGGGGTGGGGGGTAGGGGGGGTGGGGGGGGGTAGGGAGGGGTAGGGGGGGGGTTAGAGGGGGGGTTGGGGGGGCGGGGGCGGGGGTGGCAAGGGAGGGGAAAGCGCGCTAAGAACCCACCCACTTTCGAGATTCCGGCCCAGTCCCACCCAACCCCCCCTCCCTGGCCCAATTTTGGGGGGGTTGGGTTGGGTGGTTTTTGGTTTGAAATTTCTGACAAAGCAACCCTGACACAGGTAGCTTCCGTCGCACCCAAGGAGCAGGGCCGCAGGGTTTGAGGTTCAGGGAATAAGGTTTTTGGGGTCGTCGTTTTTTGGCTGTAGCAGTTATAGGTTTAGGTTTAAGGCTGGAAGGCTTAAACAGTACACCGTAGAGCCTGTACGAGAAGCCCGTTATGCTTGACAAACCCTACACAAAAAACCCTCAGCCGTTAGACCCTAAGCCCTAAAGATACCCAAACCACTCAAAGCCCCAACTGCTCCAAACCCAACACCCTGAAAACCTTCAGCCTTAGAGGCCCAAAGCCTTCGAAGCCACGACCTCGTAAAACCTTAAGCCCTTAAACCCTTACCCCTTAAATCTGTCAGTACAAAGGGATATGACAAACTACCTTAGGTACTGGAGCTGGGTTGCACAAATCCAGACATTCAGCACCGACAACCATAAGCATCGACACGAAATGAAGCAAGTTCCTTTGTTCGGTTCACGGGTGCCAAAAGGAGCAATGTGAACACACGCAGACAACTGGGGCCTGGAGCCAAGTCTGGTGAGCTGTGAGCACTGATGAAGGTGTATGCTGCATAATGTATGCAGCACTTTTGGCTTTCAGTGTTGCTCTGCCGCCTTGCCCTGTTGCTTGCCGCTGCCAGCATGCCCCTCTTAAAGAGGCCCGCTATGATCATGGCAAAAGCCACGGCCAAGAAGCAAAAGAGCAAGCATGAGCAAGAGGAGGAGCCTGAGGTTCTAAAGAAGCCCGCCCTGAAGCAGGACGATTTGGCTCTTGTGCCCTCTGAGAGCCTTCAGGTCAAGATTGAGCGCCTTCAGAACTCCACGAAGGGCTTGGAGCTCGAGGACACGGAGAATCAGTTCAAAAACTTTTTCGAGTCTTTGGACAACAAAGAGAGGCCTGCCGTAAGTTGAGGAACCCCCGTAGGCATTTCACTACGATGCACGGAGTTTTAGATGTGTAGGTCTATCTTTGCTTTCGATCTGTGAAGGTGGTCGCTGTGGAAGCAGTTCGAAAACGACCGCTTGGCCCTTGGTGGATCTCGAGGCCAGCAGGTGCAAGAGCAGTATGGCAGCATCCGCGGAAATGGCTCGGATGCGAAGAAGAAGAAACTTCTGAAGACCTACCTGCTGGGGGGCGGCTTCAAGGATGCCTACTTTGCGATGAGTGCCACCTACACGAAGAGCATCTCTCAGGAAGAGGAGTCTTCCTATGTGCCATGGAAGACAGCCCTTGACTATTATGGCCTCTCCGAGTTGAAAGCTCGCATCATGTCGGGCACCTTGCACGCAAGGAAGTGTCCCAAGGATCCTAGGTTCTGGGAAGTGAGTAAGGAGGTGTCCAGAAAGAAGGACACAACGAGCTTCGACAGCAAAATCTCCGGAACTGCCTCCGCTTCCAAAGGCAAGAAGTTGGATGATCTCAAAAGCTTCATCGAGGCTGGCCACAAGAACCCGCTGCAGGACATGGGCATGGAGAACTTTACGTTTTCCGACGACGATGCCAGCGAGAAGGAGGACGATGCTGCCATGGACCCCGGCTTGAAAAAGCTGCTGGGCATCAAGGAGTCCCCCAAAGACCCCGTTGACATGCTCGAGACTGCTTCGGTCGCTTTGTCTACGAAGGTCACGGACTCGAAGACCCAAGTCAAGGTGAAGCAGGCCCTTTCTGTGACGAAGGTGGTCGTTGCGAGGTTCGAGAAGCAAATCTCCGAAGCAAGCTGTAGCCAAAAGGCGAAGCTCATCATGACTAACATGATGAAAGAGATCAAGAAGACTTATGCTGAGCTAGAGGAGGGCTCGAAGCAGAGAAAGCTGCACAACGCCGAGAAGAAGTGTGTGACCCTAGCCAGCCTTTTGAAGAAGCTGAAGGCGAAGCTAGCTGAGGAGTAGACCTGTCCCAGTGCTTACCTTTTGTCCGCAAGCAGCATGCTATGGCCTCGAACCATCTGCTATCTTGCTGCACGATCCATAAGATCCGTTTCCTTCTGCCTTTTCGAGTGACTCTAGAGCCGCAGCACAGCTGCCCAGCAAACCGGTTCTGCTCGCTTTGCAAGAGAAACGTGCGAGTTGCTTTTTGCTTCGTTCCTACACTGCGAGGGCTGTTGTTGCTTGTTATTCTTGCTCAGGTCCTGCGAAGACCGGAGCTGCTGCTGAGCAAGCCGGGACATAGCTTTGCACCCTGCCCAAAAAGAAGCACAAGCTGCAGAGTTTGCAAAGATCTGTCTTACCGGCCATGTGCTGCCTCAGACTGGATGTGTTTGCACTGCGACCGGTCCGGCCCAGAACTCGTAGTTTTGTTTCCCGCTTGCTTGATTGAAGACGTTTGCAGGCTTCAGGTCCAGGTAAACTTTGATTCCTAAAGCCCTTAACCCGCAACCTTAAAGCTGGTCGCTGTCACATGTTTTCGCGAGTATGATTTGCTGCCATGCCTGGCTATATCCAGAACTTGCGAAAGGACCATTTGGAGGACGAGGAAGAGCCACTTCCAAATGTGGTGGAAGTCTTGTTGCTGCAGTGGTCCCAAGGTGAGATGTCTGCAGCTGCTGTGCAGAGAGTTGCACAGGCCATGGTCCTAGACGGTAACAGACAAGAAGCTGTCATGGAGCTGGCCGCCCTGGGCTCTCAAGGAGCCTACCCGGGCAACATTTCCAGGGATTTAAAGAACAAGTATGCCAAGCAGGTGAAAGTGGCAGAAGCTTTCAACATCACAGTGCCTGTGATTGATCCCAGGGCAAACCCCAGACAAAGCCTGGAACCAGCTGGGCTTTTGCTCCCGCATGACGTGGTTTGCAGCATCGGCCTGCACTATCCCCAGAATTTCCACCACATTTTTGGAACCCACGACCTGGAAAGGTTTTGGTCGCAAGTCAAAGAGGATGACTTTCACTGGGGGCCGGACTTGGAGCGCTCAGACATTGACCCCAAGTTCACAATCCCCATGTGGCTTCATGGAGATGGTGTTGCTTTTGGTGAAAAGGATTCCTTGATGGTTTTGTCCTTCGGCTCCCTAACAAGTAGTGCTTCGCCCAGCTCCGGTTGTTTGTTTTCGGCTGCTTTTGCCAAGAAGGTGACCTTGGCATCTCCCAAGGACTCAACTGCAGACACATGGAGAAACATTTGGCTACCCCTGGCATGGTCATGGGAAGCACTCATAGCAGGCAAGCATCCTGAGAGGGATCACGAAGGAAAGCCATGGCAGCCGGGGAGTCGCAGGGCCAACTTGGCAGGCAAAGACCTGCTTCCCAGTGGCCCATGGCGATGTTTGCTGTGGACACTCGTTGGCGATTACGAGTATATGGCTAACACATTGAAACTGCCACACTGGAAGAGCAATGCACTCTGCGGTTGGTGCGATGCCGATCGCTCAAAGCCGGCGAAAAATCCGTGGAAGTTTGACAAGCCAGGGTGGAAGTGCAAGGGGCCGAATGACTTTGCTGACGCCCCAATCTGGAGAGAGATTCATCCGATTTTCCAAATCCGTGGAGTCCATGACTTGTCGGTGCAGTTGGATGTTCTGCACTTGCTTGACTTAGGAACTTCCCAAGCCTTTGCTGCCAGCATCGTGAAGGAGCTGCTGTACTATGACATGACTGACAGTGTGGAAACGAACTTGGGCAGGTTTTGGGAACAGGTTTGGAATGAGTACAATTCCACAGGTGCCACATGTAGAATTTCCAACTTGACATTGGGAATGGTGGTCAACACCGGGTCGCCTCATGCCGACTACCCGCACCTTCGCTTGAAGGCAGCAGAAACGAGACACTTCATCCCCGTCCTGTCCAAGATTTGCTTCCGTTTTCTTGGCAGCAAGCAGCAAAGAGTGCGAGCTGAGGCAGCACAAGCTTTGACACAGTTCTATGAGCACTTGGACTGTTGTGACTATGTTCCGACTAGCAGACAGCACAACATGCTGGAGAAACTCTGGTGGGATTTCTTGAAGAAATACCAGTGGCTCAGCGAAGATGCTGCTAAGAAGTCTCTCAAGCTGTACGATCCGATCCCGAAGTTTCACTACTCTTCGCATTTGCCTGCACAAGCATTTTATTTGAACCCCCGAAAGTGCTGGACTTACAAGAATGAGGATTTCGTGGGCTCTGTGGCATCAGTTGCTGCATCATGTGCATTTGGCACCCGTGCGCCTGCACTGTCTTTGAAAGTAGCGGACAAGATGCGGTTTTACATGCATTTCCTGATGAGCTTCCAGCACGAGGATTAGCTCGCGACGGCAAGTGGCTGAGTTGAAAAGAGCTGTCTTTGATTCGCTGGGTTTTTCCAAAGGTCTTCGCTGGGTTTTTACTTTGGGGCCCGCTGGGTTTCTCGCTGGGTTTTTAGGGGCATGTCGCTTCCGCACGATTCGCTGGAAACTATCAGTCGACCCCACTTCGCTGGAAACTATCATGTGAATCCTGTTTTTCCTGGTGGCCGATGGCCTGGGTAGGTTCCTGAGGGTCCAGGTAGTCACAGCAGAATTGGCCCGACCCACGGTTCAAGGCTGTTGAGTTTCCCAAAGGCTCCATGTACCTCTGTAGTAGAGACTTAAGCCTCAAAGGGATCCCTATATAGGCACTTTAAGGCCTAAGTATATAGTATATGGGTATATGGAGCCTTAGGGTTTGTGCCTTCTCCAATCAACCTAACCCTAAGCTTCAGCGTCCGAGACTTCGGAATGCTGTTTGAAGTGGTGCGGTCTTCCAAGTCTTTAGTTTATAGAACTTATAGGCAACTTGTGGGGCTCAGCGTGTTGTTTTTCGTCTGGAAAGAGGGCTAGTCTGACAGTGTCTGAGATATTGCGTGCTTGCATGGTGATTGAATCTCAGTACTTGGGCATCGGGTGGTGATGGTCATGAGCTCGGCAATTCGAGCATTTTGATCAATGTTCCAATAGAAACGGTGAATCACCTATAGGCATATATGACGAATCACGCAAGAGCAAAACATGCCAACATGAACAACATGCTAGGATGCCACCCCCCGCCCCCGCCCCCACCCGCAACTTGTCAGCCGTCGCCTCTTTTCAACCCTTGACTCAAGCCAAAGACATAAAACACCCAAACCCCACGCCTCAACCCCGTAGTATACCTTAATCCTGGAATCAGATTTATCTGGAACCGTAAAGCATGGAGCGAATCCACAATACCTAAGATCCTCAATCCGCCATGACAGCGAAGGCGCTGAAATCTGATTCTGTAAACCTCGGAGCGAGGCAAAACTTTGAACCCCGAAAGCTTACAAACCTTGAAAGTCCTAAAAACCCTACAAACCCTACGTTGCCCTGTAAGCCCTATGAAATCTATACCCCCTCCCCCTGTAAGCCCTATAAAGCCTGCAGCCCCCCTTCAACCCCTATAACCCCGAACCCTTTCAGAATCCCTGAGCAAGCCCGGCCCGAAGGCATAGGTTTCCCGGAAAAAACTGATGCAAGCACACCACATAAGTAGAAAAACACCGAGCCCCCTTCTTTATGTTTTTATGAGGTCATACGGCTTGGATTTAGAGTTTGGGGTTTAGGGATTAGTGGTAATCACATGCAAAGACAAAGAAAGAACCATCACTGAGCTGCATAGGCAGCTGGCACAACCTCTGCCCTACAATCTGAGGCATCCAAGGCGAGCCAGGGAACGGTTGCGGGGGTGCCACCCAGCAGCAGCACGACGCCAAAAGCAAGAACCACACAGGCACTGAGGAGCCTTTCATGTTCGCAAAGATGTTTACGCTAAGACCCCGTAATAGTTCCTTCCGGGAACTCGTTTTTAGAATCTTATGAGGTAATCCCCGAAAGGAACTACTATGGGGCGTCTGGGTTATTAGAGATTTCGGGTTTAGACTCGATCTTAGTACGCTGTTTCCGGATCACGACTGAAGTTTTCGAGGTTTCCCCTGAACTTCCAACAGCAATCGGGGAAACAACCTTAAATTCTACCTATAGTCTCCATTGTAGTTCCTTTTTTTGGGCTTAACCAAATATATAAGTAGGACCCTATAAGGTAACCCCAAGAAGGAACTACAATGGAGACTATAGGTAGTCACTAGGCTCCCCACCCTGTATTGAAGGTACGTGTGTGCTGTACCTTCGAAGCTTATTTGTCTCTGTGCCCGGGGCCAGGGACAGTGCAGGAGGGTAGAGTGGAGGGAGGGTGCTTGGAGGTTCATGGGACGAAGCAACGAGGGCTCTACGTTAGAATCGTATGAAAACGATACTTCTTAACAAGTTATAACCCCAGTTGAGGCACTTATGACTGTACTACTTACTTCTTCCATCGTAGTCCCATGAACCTCCAAGTATAGGGCAGGGTAACCAGCGAGCTCCCAAGTGTACGTTTTATGCTTCTACATGTGGGTAGTTCTCAAAATTATCGTCCCTTTTTGGGCACCCTAAATACTAGATGCCGTATTATGATAAGAACCCAAAAAGGTACCCTAATTTTGACAACCACCCATGTGCATAAACGGCAGCAGCCGGACACTTGAACTGTATTGCGCTCCGCCACTCCAACCACGATTATGAACAGCAGCAGTATTCCCAACATTCGTGTCTTTTTGTTGCGTTTCGGGGGAGCCTAGCAAAGATAACAAATAGATGTGAATTCCAAGTGTCGGCTTGTGATATCTTGTGAGCATAGTCAAAAAACACGGGCGCTGGGATTGTTTTGCATTTCGACAGGAAGCCTAAGGCTCCATGTATCCATATAGTAGATACTTTGGCCTTAAAGGGGTCCCTATATAGGTACTTTAAGGCCTAAGTATATACTATATGGGTACATGGAGCCTTAGGGGAAGCTAACGAGGAGTATACGCAGCAGCAAGATTGCAAGAATCCGTCTGGCGCTTGTTTCTGTAAGAGGCGACACTTGGAGTTTATTGAACCCTACCTATAGTCTCCATTGTAGTTCCCTTTTGGGGTTACCTTATAGGATCCTACTTATATGTTTGTTTAAACCAAGAAAGGAACTACAATGGAGACTATAGGTAGATTTCGAAGGGATCCGGGATCAGGCATAAAAGTTTTTCTTGATATATGCTAGATTTAATCCCCAGCACCCAAAGCTGTAAATCGCATAATCATCCCCACCACACCCAGAGGGTCCAAGTACCCAAATAGTAGGGTTTTAGGTCCCAAAATCCATACTCTGAATGGTTTTGGACCTTGAAACCCTACTATTTGGGTACATGGAGCCTTAGGGACAGTTGCACCTGCGCTTTCCTCCGGCGGCTTCGGTCTGCGCATCCCGAAGTCGCAGGTACAGCAGGCAGGGCATCACCTTGGAGGTTCCCCAAAAGGCTCCATGTACCGTTACCTGGACCCCAAGAAACCTACCCTTTTTTAGGGTTCCCTAATATGATTTTTTTATACAAGGTAATTATAGTAGATATTTAAGCCTCATAGGGATCCTTATATTTGTACTTTAAGGCCTAAGTATATACTATATGGGCACGTGGAGCCTTAGGGTAAGTTTGAGGCGCTACTTGTACAACATGGACTGATTCGTGTGCATATTGTTAGGCATGTTTCGTAAGCAGATACAAATACCAAGACGGATATGGCTATGCACATTCAGATGAACAAAACATGTACGCACACACACTCTCACACACACTCTCGGACACGCGCACACACACACACACGCACCCATATGAGCATGGGAGTACACACAAACACACTGACCACACGCACAAACGCTTCTGCACCAATACAGACACAGGCATGCACAGACACACACACACACACACAAACACGCACACACACACACACCACACACACACACACACACACACACACACGCACCACACACACACACAGGAACACACAGACACATGTATATACATACCGTAATTCAAAACTCTATAGTTGCATCCCGACTATGATGTAGGCTATGTAAATATAGAGCCCAGATATGGTGGCCTCAATTTCTGCAAAATCCAGATGGCTTTGAAGCAGTAAAACCCTAAACAACTAAAGCCCAAACTGTCAAGCCCTGAACCCCTAAACCCTAAATCCTAGGCCCTTTCCCAAAGGCTCCATGTACCTCTATAGTAGAGACTTAAGCCTTAAAGGGGTCCCTATATAGGCACTTTAAGGTCTAAGTATATACTATATGGGCACATGGAGCCTTAGGGTTTGTGAGCTTAAGCCATAACGCCTGAACTGGACCCCGAACCTGCTGCAGGACCTCACCGATTCCTTAGAAGGGGCCCCCCACCCTGTTTTAAGGCACCACCCTAATATAATCCTTATAGTCACTATAACAGGGTGGGGGCAGCTTCTAACCGATACCTGAAGCCTTCTAGGTTCCTAGGCCTGGAACTGTAACCCTGAATCCAACATTTGAAGACCGTGAGTTCACATGTTCAAACAAGTGTCAAGTTGAAAGTCTGCTTGCCTGTAGACCCGACGCATGTTTAATGAAATTTTGAATCTGAGTCTAGCATACTGTAGCCCGCTACATGCTGAAGCCCTGAACCTTGAGGCCACGGCATATGCTCCCAAAGACAAGCCCAGCGCCCCTGGAGCAAGCGACGGGATATCACAACAACAGTTTAATCCTGCACAAGACCTGTGCTGCTGTCAACGCTGCCGGTGCCAAGAAAATCAGCGGCTGTGCTATAGCGTCGAGTTCAGTCGTTCACCAATCCTAAGGCTCCATGTATCCATGTAGTAGATACTTTGGCCTTAAAGGGGTCCCTATATATGGACACATGAAACCTTAGGCCAATCTCTCGCGCCTAAGCCCAGCTTGCAGGTCGGGCCTGTGAGCGCGAAGGCAATCTTTGTGTCAATGAAAGCATCGATGAAGACGCACAGTAACCCGACCTCCAGCTCTGGATATCTAACCCTATGCTTCCAAGGACCTTATAATTGGGTCTCTAGACCTCTTAAGGACCCAATAACAAGGTCCCTGGAGGCATACGGTAATATAGGGACTAATATAGGGACCTTAATAATTGGAATAGGGTTTTGGGTATTACGCGCCTATATTGGGGTGTCAGCTGCACTTACACGGGTGGCTACCCAAATGAGGTCATTTTGGGGCTCCCAGGCCATAGGCTGCCGTATGAAGAGCAGAACTATATAGGATTCCCCCCAAAGTGACCATGAACTCCAAACCCAAAACGTCATCCAACAGCGATCCAAACCGTCCGACAACGGCAAGTTACGCCTGGGCAAGCGGTACTGACAGAGGGACTAGGGTTGAGTGTTTAGCGTTCATAGGGTTTGGC